TACAACTCTTACTTAGGCCGCAAAGCCTTCATCAAATAATCACTCGCTATGTCGTTCTTGTATATGTTCGCCAAATCCACGCAAGTCTTGCCCAGTTCATCCACGGAYTTGGCATCCGCACCGTATGTCAGCAGCAGCTTCAGAATACAAGCGTCAGCGCCCATAACAACTGTAAATGGCAAATYGTAAATGCAAATATCCAGCAACAGCCTTACGTAATCGCCTCGAACGTGAACTGTGCGCACCTGCACGTGACAGTAATGACCAGCCGCAAGCATCCGTTGCATTCACATTGGCACCGTTTTCCAGCGCAAATCTAAGCAGCTCCAATTGATTAGCGTCGACGGCGAAATGACAAGCAGTCATGCCATTAATGTCAGTTGCTTCAAGCTGTGCCTTACGATTTAGCAGAATGCGTGCGACGGCCAAGCGCCCATGGTAGAAAGCGAGCTGCATAGATGTGTATAAGAGACAGTGCCTTACGATTTAGCAGAATGCGTGCGACGGCCAAGCGCCCATGGTAGAAAGCGAGCTGCATGTGGAGTGGAGAGAAGCGGAAGGTTGGCATGTGTTAAACTTCAAAATTGTTTAATTGCGATACTTCAAGAAATTCTTAAATTTCGTCGATTATGAGTACTCTCTTGAGAGTTATAAGTGCTGAATAGAATTTAGATATTAGGTAAGAGACGGGAAGAGTTCATCTGGCTGACCTTCAGAACGTTATCAGTTTTAATACCGATCAATGCTTTTTTTTTTTAACGGAAGGAGTCTCTTTATATGGCAAAGAGTTGTGTTAAGAGCTAAGAATTAAGCTTACTCTCACATCACTTTTTTCTACACACCTGCAGTGGAGTGCGTCCATTCAAGGGATTGCCGGTATGTACACTAGCGCCATGGCTCAGCAGCACATCGGTGACACAATGCTCACCGTTCATAATGGCATTAGCCAGCGGCAAGTAACTATTCGGACCGGGATAGTCTAACAAGCTGGGTCGTCGCCGTAGTATACGTTTAACCAGAAACTGTTGACCTTTCTTGACGGCGCGGTGTAGACACACTGCAGTGGGCAGTGTTGCCAAAGTGGTAACCTAATTGTGAAAAGTAGAAGTTTCAGGTACGGTAATATTGTGGAAGTTAGCGGTAGTTACCAAAAACTCTGGTGACACATTGATATCCTCAAATAGACCGAGTGACTCCGAGAAGCGCTGACCCTTGATRCGCAACCGATATGTGAAGTTCTCGGCTAAATTTTCGATGGTCGTAGGAGCATAGCCTACCCTTTGAAAACATTTATCAACTTTTTGGTGCGAATTTATTTCAAATGTGCCTACCAAGCGACTTGCTCCCAGCCACGTCGTCTGTGATATTTTTCGATTTTATATACCTCGACGTCGTCCAATAAATTCCAGTCGAGACAAACACTATTCAATTTYTCTTCCACGACACGTACATTGAAGTCAGTATCACAAAGCACAACATAGTCTTCTTCAATATTCCCAGCAGTTTTTTCGTTTGAAAGTAAATTATCCCCACCAGTGTGCTGGTGCTTGTTGTCAGCGGTAATATCAGAATCATGAAACTGATTTTTGCTATCAACTGCCATTTTTCTTACATCTGCCAYATCTCTTGCAATTTCTTTATCTTTTTCACAGTGTCCATTTGGCGCATCAGCGCATAATTTATCATTTTCCTCAATTGCAAATTTTTCATTTCCTTCTGAAATGTCACTGTTTTTACTTTCATTTTCCCGTTTTTGCATTTAAAAGTTAAATGTTTGCTGTTTCCTTACTTTGTATTCAATGRCGAATGGACACTTTTTCACTTTTATTTCACTGATTTATGCACAATAAATTTCTATTTCATATCGTTTATGTACCGTTATTTGTTTTATCGATATGAAAGTGGTAGCCATGGTGAAGAATATTTTTTAGGTGAAAATCAAAGGAATTGTCAAAGTARGTTGACGCATATTAAATGTAACGTTTTATTAAAATAATAATGAGAGATACTTACTCTCTTTTCTCCGATTTTATTCACTCGAAACACAAATGTGCACAAATGTGTTATAAGAAAAGCACGCTCTCTCATTTTCACTGAAATAACTCACATATTGGCCGATATATGCGATGCAAAGTCACCTGGCAGTTTTAAAATCTTTATATTAGGTATATGAGGGCTAAGAGAAGTATTGAACCGATTCAATCCCTTTTTAGCACACCGACATGCTACTATGTGTAAAGGATTGACTCTGAATTTCAATTATATATCTCAAACATTGATCGATATTGACGGTTAAAAGACAACTGTTAGCACTGAGTCTACATATTCAGTACTTAAGGGATTGACGTAACATTTTTCTATGCCACAGTGCGAAGATGGGCGAAATCAAATTCTTTCACTTTCCTTGACAAAAGCGCACATACCAAGTTTCATCAAGATATCGCAATTTATACTCATGTTATAGGTTCCACGGACAGAGGGATAGGCAGATAGTCACCCGAATTTCAACTTGTCTCTTAATCCCGATGATCTTAATCTTAATCTGTATCATTTCTTTATATATTATATAATCCTATATAAATCTCGATGAGACACATAGTTTCAGGGTAGACATACAACCGTTAGGTGAAGAAAACTTGTATACCCTGCAGCAACTTTAGAATATTAGCAATTTTGCTAATTAAAAAATATATTTTTCAAATAATTGATATAATGAAACATGCCAATAAATAATAATGCCACAATTTATGTACTTTAAAGTTTAAACGAAATATTTCACTTGACTCACCCTTTTTACAGTTGCACTATATTTGCTCTTAATTCTTTGGCAGAAGTCAATCAGCTGTTTTAGCTTCTAAGACCGGCCGCCATTTCGCCGAATTATTCTACTCTTCACTCATATAAAATTTCACTWCACTTCTGACCAATGAACASCGCATTATCCACTAATTTATTACGCCACAGAAGTGTGTACTTACAGAATTTGAATATATTAACATATTTTTACAGATTTTAATTGATTTAAGTCACATTTTCACAATATGAAGCACTAAAATTCACACTCAAAAAAATTGCAACTTCACCGGACGAATGGAAGCGGAACTGAGGAAATGAATATAATACAAAAAGCAGCACGAAATTATTTCCAATTTTCTCATTCAGTATGTCAGATTTTGGATTTGCCCTAAAAGTATGCAGCGATTTTTGACAGAGAACTATTAGTTCACAACTGTTTGCCAGCTGATGGAAGAAAGGTAAAAACRGGTGCTACATGAATGCACATTTCATTTTGTATAAAAGTTTTTGAGTTTCCTATATCACTTGATGATTTATTGCCTCATTTTCGGGTTAACATGCGACGGGTAGCGTTGATTRAGTAAGGATACCTATAAATAAGCTTTTTAAATCAGAGCGAGTCATAAGATTTTAAAATGTTTTTCATATAAAAATGAGGGCGTAAAACAATGGAACATGATCATGGAACCATCTTCAGAAAGTATCTCTAGAGAGAAATGGATTATAATAAATAAAGAATTTGCGCTTAGCGTATCCACTAGACTTCTACGAAGACGCGTCATTGATGCTCAGCTGTTGTCACACTACAAACATTAGCGGAAGCGGCCTAAAGTGGTATTTCAATATCCCGACTATAATATGTACGATATTGGAAATTCAATCATTTTTCAGAAGAAACTATTAAAAAATCTTTTCAATTTTTTGTATACAACTTTTTTATTCCTCAATATTTGCTAGGCTAAACCAGCCTTTCTTAGTAAAAACCTTTAAGAAAGGTTCTGCCTAAAACATACTTAACGGCAGACTTCTTCTTCTTCTTTATTACTTAGACAACGCCACAAATTTGGCATGCAAATCTCTATCATTTTAATAGAAATTCTATATGGACTATATGGACTAAGTTTTAAGTTAAGGTATATAGTATTATGGAACTTCAATGGACGGATATATCAGCAAAACTTAGGAAATAGTGTTATAGACGCAGAATAACAAGTACCCTTTCAACACGGAACTTCTAATTATTGCCYCCTAAAAGTATACTACGAAAACATATTTAAAATGTATCAAACTAAAGAAATATTAACCCGTATATAGCGGTAGATAACTCGGCTAAATATTCAAGAAACTGTGTAATATAACAGTATTTTCATTTCCTTTTCACCGATCTTCCATTTCCTCAGTTGTATTTAGGTATCCGTCCGGTCAAGTTGTTGCGTAATACGTACAATTTATAGCTGCGTGATTGAAAGCTGAGCTTTTCATTGAATATGTGAAATAATGTATTTATGTATCATGTTAAATATGAGTTCCATTCAGATATTAAAATCCTTTTTAAAACTGTGTGTAAATAAGTTGAACCATCTTGCGGGAGCAGTGTATTTCTTGAAATGAAAATATATACAATATGGCTGCTGAGAAGATGAYGCTAGAAAAAGCAAGGCAAAGAATATATCGTCACCTGAAATGCAAAATWACGTATCATCTAATTCGAAATTGAGTGTCTTATTGATTACGCATTACTACTTTAAATTACATATATTCAAAATTTTCAAGTTCTGAGCTCAGATATAAACC